GACATGGGAATTTCTGCTCGTATGTACAGCGACATTGACGATGGTAATTTAGATGAAATTGTTCAGGATATTTTATTGAATCACCCCAATACTGGAGAAGTCATGATGAAAGGGTATTTAAAACATAGAGGAATAACTGTTCCTGGAAAAGATTTAAGGAATTCAATGAGAAGAGTTGATGAAAACGGAGCAGATCACAGACTAAGAAGACGTCTACACAGGCGAGTCTACACTGTAGGGGGACCAAACCATCTCTGGCACATTGATGGCAATCATAAACTGATAAGGTTTGTTTGACAAAATGTTTATATATTTTTATCATTCTAACAATTCACTATTTAAACCCATTCAGGAAACCAGAGAAAACTTCAATTATCATGCATGGAAAGTAACTTTCTTTCATCACCATTTAAATTAATATCTAGCCATAGGTCAAAAATTATAAAATTGTTTTGTTTAATAACAAAGTGAACCCTAATAAATTTCATGGTTTTTTACAACATTAATTCTAGGTGGGGATTTATTATTCACGGAGGAGTTGATGGATTAAGTCGTCTTCCAGTCTACATGAAATGTTCTACCAACAATAAAGCCATAACTGTTATGGAATCATTCCAGAAAGCTGTAGAGTGTTATGGGATCCCTTTGCGTGTCCGATCCGATGCTGGCAGGGAAAATGTCGAGGTTTGGCATTACATGTTACAAAAAAGAGGTAAACATTATTTTGTAATACAACAAATTTAAATCAAAAGAACATTTCTACAAATAGTCTGACACAGATGTTATATTATTCATCCAAATCTTTGGAAATTACTGTACACTGTCCATCATCATATCCTCAAACTAATTTGCTTAAGTTGGAACAAGTACAATAATTGCTGTTCTTAACTAATTATTCTTGCAAATCTATTGAAAAATTTTTTATAGTCTGTCCCTCCCCAGCAAACAGTAATTTATAGAATTAATAAAAAAATAACGACAACATTATCTCCTTTTTAAAAATGAATTATTTTTCTTAAAACAATTTCACTTTTATGTAACGTTTTTTAACGAAAATAATGGTCACAGAAAATCTTCCATGAATGTTTAAATAATAGGGTATAGAGACCATAGAGTAATCATCAGAATTTATACTGATAGTGTGCAAATTAATATTTTCTGGCTATTATTATTCGCGGAACCCCTGAAATACTATAGTACTGTTCACTGAGAGGCGTAGACATGAAGGGAATAGAAATTATGTTAATTTTTTTCATACTGTATATACTGTATAGTAAACAAAGCACAGTGTGTGACAGTAAATAACTATCAACATACAATTTGAAAAGCTTTGTTAATTTATGTTAAACTAAATTTTACAGAATTTTCTTAAACGTCAAATTTTATTGGACTCTTGTAACATGCATATATTACCTTATTTCATTTTTTGCCTGAACGAAAGTACTTTACCCTGGATTGGTCTGTTTTTAACAGGTAAAGTTGGTCTAATTATTTGAAAGAGCACACACAACCAGAGAATCAAAAGATTATGGGGAGATGTTTTCCAGGGATCTCTCCATTATTTCTGTCAGTTGTTTCATTATTTG